CATCTCTGCTCTCTCCTCGCTCGGTTCAGGAAAGCTTTTTTCTGCAGGGAACTCTTCATTCAAATAGACTGTCTATTTTCAAACTGGTAAAGCTTAACTAGTGCTACACAAGATGTGTCTGACCACAGAAACTAATACAAACCAGCAGGACACTTTTGGCATTGTGTACATTCCCTTTAGATGATGTCATTCTTACTGCTTGACTGGGGGAGGAGAGAATGCATTTATATGATTTACTTTTCTAAAATACATAGGCAAGGTACATAAACTACTTGAAAATTGTTAATTTCAACCTATTTTCTGGTGCAAAATACATTAGAAGAGGTAAGGTGGAATTATGTCCTCACTCCCTTCCCAGCTAGGAAATGTTTGCTGTAAAGTTTGTGGCTATCGTGAACTGAAATGTAAATATGAAGCTCCATCTTTTATTTAAATAAGCTGATGCCAAAAAAATTTTGGAAGTGTATCATTGTATTTCTTAACTGTACAGTACCTTTGTAAATATGCATATATCATTCAATTGCAGTGTAAGCTCTGTTAAATAAAAGTGTTTTTCTTTGGATAGCATAGTCTGGAATAATAAGCATATTATCAGGAATTAATAGTCAACTCTTCTGCTGATATGGATTCACATGTCTTTCAGCCTTCCTGATTCAGCTTCTCCAAGTCATGGGGTGTGGGGAAGGAGCACTCACATTTTCTGAAGAAAGAATTAATACAGTATTTTGCAGTTTTAGAGGTATTATTTCATAATTGAATCTTCTTAGCAGAGAAATGGATGCATGTTCCATGGATGAGAACCATCTTTCAGAACTATTAAAGGAAACTGGATCTTTCCAGAGGGAGAGAAGGAGAAGGAAGGACATTACAATTGCTGATACAGCTTGTCTTCATAGAATCACTCATGGCAAAGTGAACGATTCACTGAGCTCAGTTTCAGGCACAATACTATAGATAAGAGACTGGCGGATTGAAGTTCTTATAACAGCTGTTATTTTGGGGTGTTTTGAGGTTTTCTGTTTGCCTTGGGGAGGAGGGGTGTCATCTTCATCTTAGAGCTTGGATTTGTGAAAGCTGGTGCCTTATTTTGGGACAGATGTATTATTTCTTACTCTGCCTTCTGCTCCCTCCAAAACTGCCCTGCTAAGAAAGGTCACCTCAGGTCCTGGAAAAGATGATGCTAAGTGGCTATTTACAACCAACCATGAAAAAGTAGCATCAATTTCATGTTCAGTCTGGCTGTAAATGCTGATGGTTCAGTAGCTTCACCACACATCAAGGAAGGACAGCAGCCATTTCAATGCGAGCTGTGCCCTTCGTACTAAAATCTGTGCTGAATTTATATTCCTTTTATGGAATCTTGGATTTATGGAATCTATGGAATTTACGGATATCTAACCCTGGATATATAATCCTTTATTTTCTCCTTTTATTATTGTTATTTTTAATTGGGAATATTTGGGATTAAAACCATCTGAATATATTTTACAGGAAATTACTTATGTTAGTGGTGTAGAACTGCTTTACCTGTTTAACTATGGGTTGATCCCATTAAACTTGAACTCGCAGAACTCTTTAGATTATGGCATTTCTGGGAAGTTCTGCTTAACTATATCCAAACGAGAGGTAAAATGCAAATTTTAAATTTGGACTCAAAAGTAAAATTGTACTCTTGAGTTCAGATTCATCATCAAAAATGTGGGTGGAATGATTTTGAGTAGAAAGATACATCTTAAGTTCTTTTCTGTTTTAAAGTAATGTTTGCCTTGTTTGCTACTGTCAGAGTGGTAAGAACTTAAACAGAATATTCACATCAAGGTCAGAGTTCCCACTTCTAACTACTGATTCGTGTGAGGGAATGTGAAGAATTTAATACAGGCTGCAGATTGTTCCATTTCCCTTAATTATTTTCTCCATGTCAGATAGAGTTCTTTGGTGGGTGTTTGTTTTTGCAACCATAGTGATGAGATATATTTGCTGGTTGCAGTCAAAATAATTCCAAACAGTTATCTACTGGCATCATTTTTATCCAGCAAATCCAGACATTTGCTTGCTTTACACCCAAAGGGTAGGAATTTTGAGACTATACTCCCAGAATAGCTTTTAAATTATCTATCCAAATCAGACCAATAGTTTGTTGGTTTTTTTTCATACTTTCCCACAAAAAATACCCAATATTGCTCCTCACATGAACGCAAAACTGCATCTATTCAGTATTTTCTTATTATTCCATTCTTGAGGAAAAACCCCAGAAGGTCACATTTAAATCATAATTATACATATTCTTCAGAGCAACTTCCTTTATAACATATGTGCCATAAATCATTTTTTCCACAGTGCTGCTCTGCTACTTCTCCTCTTGGTGAGAAAAGCTGTCAGTATATGATCTGACAAACTGCTGACAAAACCAGCTTCATTTTATAACTATATAGGAATCAAACACTCACTGGGAGATAGCAATTATCTGGCAGCAGTGTATTTAAAAGCATGTGTGTTTATGTATATAAATACACATTGGCTAGGTGATTTTACTGACCTTGGATGTAAGCAAAGACTTTGACAGATCCATACTGCTCACAGCTTGAAGAACTGAGTTTAACCGCTTGTGATTAGATTGGAGGCTCTGATGACAATTTTTCATGGAGTTATGAGCGCCAGTGGCATAATAACCTTTTCAGCTGCTGAAGTCAAAATCCATCAAGGGCTGTGAATCAGACCCTTCAGTAACTGCTGCTCACAGGAAAATAAAACCTGAACTTTATGCAACTTGCTCTGCTACACTAGAGAGTGGCTTTTCAGGACAGTAACACTGCCTAGCCAGCCACCCCTCCCACTGGCCTGATAGCATCTAGCAGGAGAATAAGGGAGAGAGGAGGAAGCAGGAATCTCTTTAGTCATGCCAGCATGAACTGGCAGAGCTTGGGATTCTAAGCACGTTTTCACATGAGCAGGCCTTATTCTCAGAGCTGGAGCAGCCCCATTGATTCAGTGTATACAAAGTAATTGGATTATGAAACAAAAATAAATTCAATGCTCGTGTTTTCTCTACATCACTTCCTATTGATATGTGGTGCTTTCCACTCTATTTTCAAAAAGATAAAGCTGTGGCTGCAATATAACTAGCCTTATAGCTAATAGTGCTGCGAAGCCTGTGGACTGTGAAGAGCTGGATATGCCCGTAGGAAAGGTAAAATGTACTTGATTTGGAGAAACATGTGGTTAAAACTGTTTCAAGTAACATTGGACAGGTACCCAGCTACTCTGAACTACACAACTGTCACAGAGCAAGCACTTATTTTGCTGATTGTCCTGGGTTCAGCAGTGGCGGTCATGCTGCAGTAACTGCCCCTGGTTTATATACTGGGCATGACGTGCTGTGGTATGGAATACCTCTTTGGTCAGTTTGGGTCAGGTGTCCTGTCTCTGCTTCCTCCCGGCTTCCCCTCCTCCCTGGCAGAGCGCGAGACTCACAAAGCCCTTGGTCAGACTAAACATTACTGAGCAACAACTAAAAGCACGGGTGTTATCAACGCTGTTCCCAGGCTGAAAGTCAAAAACACAGCACTGCAACCAGCTACTAAGAAGGAGAAACGACTGCCGCTGCTGAACCCAGGACACTCGTCATGCTGGCCACCTCCAGGAGCTGCTCTAAGCTGTTATTGGAAGTAGTCAAGGCCTAAAGTTTCAATTTTTTTTTGTCAAATTACAAAATTAGGCTGACTGTTGGAAGACGACTAAGGCATAATCTTGTTCACATAAACTGGAGTCAGCAAAAATTAGAAAACTGCATTTCTCTGACACACAGTTTGAATCCAGTCTGAGGACAGACAATTTTAGGGGTTCAGCCTGTTCCCTGATTGACAGATTCCCAACATAACTTCCCATCATGAAGAACTTACTGTCACAATGACTGTAAGGAAGCCTTTGTGCAGGGCTGAGTTTAACAATAGAGCACTGAAGAAGCAATTTGTTTCCCTTTCATTAACGAAGATGTATAGGACATGAAGTACTAGTCACTGACTTTGCGTCGTTTGCATCGTTTCTGTTAGAAGAGATGGCATCTGCTGCTCTCAATTTAAGCGGGAGTTGGGACGGCTGTCAGAGCAGTTGATGTCCTCCAGGATGGGTGTTGCTAGTGAGCATTATTGTTTAAAAATAAAAATAGTTTCTAAACAAAATGCTGTGGGAGGATAAAAGTTGGGCAGTGGCCAGCCTGGGTTTCATGGAGTAATTGCTAATTGTGTAAGTTCTGCCCAATGCTCTGTTTACCAAGGATGTTTTGCCCATTTTAGCTGAGGTGGGGCTCATTTCCTTAACAGACACAGAACAGAGCTGCAGTCTGCTCTGTATCCTGCTCAACAGAGCATGCTCAGATACTTGGGCATTCACAAAAAGTAAAAGTAACTTCCCCCCTCCCAGCTCTATAGTGGGCTCAGATAAAAGGATCAGGATGTCCCTCAGGTTCAATATTTATCTTGTCTTACTTGTATATTTCAGAAACATTCAAGGACAAGTGCAATTCAGCATTTGCCTCAGTTAATCCTTCCTGTCAGACTCAGTTTAAACGCAGCATTCCCAGTATTCCATTTTGATCATTAGTGCATGCGAGCAGTTTAAGAAACCAAATGCACAGTCTCTGCCTCAAGTTTGTTTAGTAACTCCTGTTCACAATTAACAACAGTACAGCAACACGTGGTGTGCTGATACTAGCAAACCTTGTCCTGACTGAAAGCAGAAGAAAGCTTAAATTTATTTACTGTAAAAACTTGCTGTAGGTTACAAGCTCTACAGTGGATATTAGTGCATTCATATAAGTGATTTATCTCTCACAAGAGCTACTAGCTGGAAAACCAGAGAGTGTAAAAACATTTCTTTGTCTGTTAATGAGCTCTTTTTTTCCTTCATTATAACATTAACCCAGGACTGAAAAAAATAAAGAAGTCTTTTATATAACATAAAAAAGCATGTAGCATCTGATAAAAGAAACGGTTTTGGGATACACTGAATTCTTTGCCAGGAATCCAGGAACAAGAGCCACAATACTTCTGCAAATCAGTGCCAGGTCAGAAGATTATGATTTTCATTTTACTATGATTATTCTTCCCTTGCCACATTACTGTGGTCATTTCTGCCACACTTGCAATTAAAGCACCAACATCTACTTTGCTATGTTGTAAATGCCACATTCTTAGAAATTTTTCAGGCATTTGGAGTACTTATATAGTCAGACCCTAAATCAGAACACTTTAATATTAATATTCTTCACCAAATACACAGAACTCGGTAGGCACTGGATGGTCCATATGGAACTGTGTAGCTGTTGGCACTGGAGTTAATTATATCTGCAACAGCAGTCTTAACACTGGCTCCCTCAGCCTTTGCCAAGTTACATCTAGAACATGAAAAACCTTGTATGAAACTGAGTATGATCCACATACCTCACCCTCAAAAACAAGGAGAGGACTGAGTACATCAGTCTTTCACTTTTAACAATGACGCTGCACTTGAGAAGGCAACAGATACCAAATAAAGCAATTCTTTGCACCCTGTCCCAAATCTGAGTCATAGCCCTAGGGACCTCAAGGTCTCTGAATAGTATTTCCTTTGCCTGTTGTCTTTAGCTTATTAGCACACCCATTTGACTGAAGGAGACTGCTACTGGTTATATACCACCTTCAACAGTAAGACAGGGTGGGTCCTGGGGGGAAGGATGTGTGCACTGCCATGGAACAGAAACTGGGCAGCAAAACCAGCAAAAAAATACTGTTCCCTCGGGTTTAGACACACTGACCTGCATACTAGTGCCTGAAAATGTGATGCAACTGCTCAAAGAAAGTGACAGACAATTGGGCAAAATCTGTGGAAAAGAAGGAAAAATCCTGCCTTCCAAGAAAACTTAGTTTGTGTTGAACTGATGTTCACAGCCTACAACATATCCTTGGCGAGTTCTACTTACAAGAGGTGGCGTGTTTTGTGTTTTCAATCCTGCTCACTGCACATACGGATACTAGGAGGTTTGTCCACTCTTCCCTACTCCCACAGTTCTCTACAGCAGGGTTTGGCTGTCATATTTTGCAAGATTTCACAGAGTAAAAACTACATGATTGTTACGAAATACTTCAGTCCAGTGGTTCTGGATCATGCTGGTACTATTGAGAATAGTCATATTAGCTCTACAACCAGATCTGTGATGCTGCCCAAACCCCATCTGACTTACTGCAGATGTGCTCTTGTGTTCTGAACATGTAATATGAATGTATCTGGAATCTCCAAGCTGCACAGTGTCTCTGCCTAATTTACTGAACATCCATAAATCTTGGGCAAATGTAGAAAAAGGCTCAAATTTCTCCAGCAAACAAATTTCCAGATGGAAAAAGAAGAAATACACATAGAAGTCAGACAAATCAGACCCTAACGGGAGATTCCTTGCAATCCCAGTCCTCTCACTTGTCAAGAAGGATGTGAGCACACATCCTCCCCTTTTTCTGTCAGACTTCTGATCCTGTGACACATAAGTCAGTCTTTCAAAGGTATCATGCCAATGAACTGAAGAAAAGACCTTGCCTAATTAGCTTGGCACCAATTTTAAAAGAATGTTTACTATAAACAGGGTAAACAAGAAACATACTACCAACCCAGAGCTCTTTCATAACCTTCTGTTGTCCCTTTAACAAGAGAGTATTTTCCGCTTCCTGGAATTAACACTTCTATTTTCCTCCTCAATTAAAAACAAACAAACAAAAAAAAAACAACAAACCCAAACCATCAAACAAACAACTCAAGAGCTGTATCTCATGGTGCAGTTTCACAAGAAACTGAGCAAAGATTCTTGTTTTGGCCTTTCTTATGTCATTCCTCCCTTTCTCTGCTATGGTCCTGCCCTTGCTCCTTGCCTCAGTCATAGCACTAATCAAGTATTTGCATGAAACAATTCGGTTTATTAACTTGGGAAAACCCTGCCCTTTTCCTGGGTGAGCAGGTTGAAGTGGCTGAGAGAGTCTGCCAAGGGCTAGACCAGACACAGAGTTGGGTGTGGTTAGCTGGAGGCAAAGGAACAGCTTTCAGCAGTTGTGAGCTACTAGACCAGCTCACCTTGCCTCATGGAACCACAGGCTTAGAGGTTTACTTCTAGACTCTTGTAGCCATGTAGATAATACACTTAACCCAGCATCCTTACAGAGACTCTGGAGAAAGAATGTGCTTAGCCAGCAGGATCAGACTGCTGTATGGACCCAGAACAACTACCAGCAATTCAGAACTCCCTCACCTGTTGCTGAAGGAGAACACCATCTTGAGAGCACCTCTTGTCCAGATCTCAAGACATGTCTGTATTTACATTCCAAACATCAGGAGCAACTGTTCCTTTGGTAGATACCTAAAATGAGAAGGAGGAGAAAGAGGAATCCAAATGAGAAACTAAGTGCATGTCCTTTACTCTGCTTGCCTTCTCTGTTTGTTCATCTTCTCTTCGCATTTCAGCATTGTAAGTGGTAACAGCAAAGCAAATTTTCTTTAAATAAATTGTGAAAGGCTTACTTCAGGGTTTGACTTCTCAGTAACAAGAAAGGTTTGAAAAATAGCTTTAATTAGTAAAACAGAGCCAGTTTAGAGTAAGACATTGCTGAACAGCTCTCTCTGGTTCGCCCACTTCGTTCAGCTGTCTCTTCACAAAACAGGCAGTAACTAAAATACACGGAGATGGCAATAAAGAAACTACTGCTATTTCATGATCTTCGGAAGTAAACAATAGCTGAAATTGTAATTAAAAACATGGGAAATGGATGTTCTGCTGACAGCTGGATGAATCAGTGAGCACCTGAGAACACCATAGCACATAATCTATACACTATACTGGTTCTGCTGGTCTCTTTCATCTTTGTCTTGCTCTACATCATACACTAGACACACAACCTGTAGTAATTCCAGTGAACCATTTTTCAGATGAAGTTATGTTAATGTGTAGCATATAACATCTCAGAAAGACTGATTCCCAAACAAATATGTCTTTAAAAAGTATTAAGGAGAATGGCTTCCCACGAAAGAGAGTAATTTCATTTTCATGGTAACAAAATCTCACTTCATTTTGTTTGAGGTGTTTGGGTTTTATAACACAGGCTTGCACTTACCTCAGGAAATCCTTTCTGATCAGAAATTCATCTATTTTAGTTAAATGGAAAGCAAAACTGTCTCCCAAATGATTGAAGTAAAAATATATGGAAATATAAGATTACCTTTCAGCAGAATTTAGGGGGAAATTCTGCTTTTGGCCATAGCCATGTAATGTATTACCACAAAGTAAGATTTAGTTTATTATGTTGGAACAAGTCTTAATGTTTCTATCACTTTTGCTATTTGTGGTTTATACAGACTAGCAGCAGTTATAGGCCAGTACATTGTCACCTGCCTTACTCCTAAAGCTTATAATTTCTAAAATTATGTTCCATAATTAAACAAAACAATACTGTAATATAAAAGCATTAGTTTTAATGAAAACCAGTTATGTATCAGTCTTGAGCTTAATTTGCTCTTCACAGATCCCAGAAATAAAAGGATTGACTATTGCAAATCCTTCTGGTACTTTATATTTAATCACAAGCAATTTATGATAATTTATTCCATATGCCTGATACCACTGAAAAAATTTGTAAATAAAGCTTGATGATGCCTACAGGAAGTGAGCTGTTCATTCTGTTCTAATATTAGCAGCAGACTGCAGCAATGCAACACGTAACATTCATTCCAGACCCCCAAACATTGTGAGCCATCATTTTGTGCACGTACAAAACAAGTGTCTGATAGTGATTGAGCTGAGGATATCTGTAACATGAGTACTGAAGGATTATCAAGAACTGAAAAAGAAACTTTGCTGAAGTTTCCGTCCAATAGCAGAGGAGTATCAGGATTAATTTGCTTCTTTCTTCATCACTGAAGGAGGTCTCAAAGTAAGAAGGTACTTTTAAACATGACATACATTTTTCCTCCTTGAGATTGCACACAACCACCCACAGTGCTGGGATTTTAGCTTTCATTTGTTTATTTTTTAATCACATAGATTTTTGAAAAACAAAGATTTCTTTTTAAATCCAGATGCTGTAATAGAGGGGTTGACTGCTACAGTACTCTTATCAATGACTGTCTGACAAACCCCTCCTTGTATGGCAACCAGCAGTTTGCAGCTCCCACTGAATTTGACAGTGGTGAGATACTATGGACTCACTGATTAGCTCTATTGTGACTCTGGATGAGGCCAGGACACCTGGCTCTCCCTCAATTTACAATTCAGAAATAACCAGGAAACTCACTATTGGCACACTCAACTTCTAACTTGGGAAAAGAAAATACTGTCTGGCAAGCTTGCTAGGCTGCTGACCCTGCTCTGCTGGAACAATGCAAATCATACTGCTCTGCACTGCATCCTGACCTAATCAGCCCTCCCTTACCTTGCACAAACCCTTTGAAACTGGTCTGTGTGAAGAGGAACCTGTGTAACAGATCCATGGTGTCTTCTCATTGTGTGTCCAGATTTAGGTGTAGAAATCAGACATTGTGATGAGATTTTTTTTCCTGAGATTTCTTTTTTTTGCTTCCATGTGAAAGCACACCATGGAAGTGAGCTTAGCATGTTGGGAAGCTTTCAGGTTCTGTTATGCAAACTAGTGCTCACTAGGAAAGAGTGGCATGAAAATGACTGTGTAGCAGCTGCCTCCATGGCCTCTAGTTCTTATCAGCAGACAAAACACATTAAAGGGAGTATTTATACTGCAGAGAGAAGCCAGGTTGTGTTTTATATTTAGATATTCATTAAGCTGATAAATTAATGGCTATTTTTCCTGTATGTATTTTGAAAACGTTTCAAGGCTGGCTTTCCTTTTCATCCTTCTAGAAGCACTTGTACTCTATCTTCCTAACCATAGCTCTTCCCTGAAGGCTGCAAACCTAATTATGAAAGGACTAAAAAAATGGATTAATTTCTGAGTAGCACCATGTCTTCAGTCACCATGTGTATATCTTTTTAAACCCATGTTCTGCCCTGCAGAGACCAGTGGTGCCAAGCACTAATAGTTGTCTAGCCACAAAAAGTACTATTGACCTTGAAATTCAGACTAATAATTCACTTCCAGTACTTGGTGCAAGAATTATTTTTCAGATGATATAATGTCTTACTATATGAGGTGGTAGGATCCAAGCTGGCAAAACTCAAAGCAATCCTGCATTATTAAATGCCTTCAATCATTAATAAGTAAATCAGTGTCTTCTTGAAACTAAGCTAAAACTGCAAAGCAGGTTTAAAAGGCTGGAAGTACTTGTACCACTGGGTAACAAAATATGAAATCTGAAAAACTGAAAAAATAAGTTCAGTTTTCTTTTTATAAAGATGACAAACAGAAAACCACTGATAGTCCTGGAGACTGTGGCTTATCCACAGTAATTCTTATTAACAATACTTTGTAATAATAAGTATGTGAAAAGTGATTATTTAGAAAAGATCCTTTAAGTAAAACTCAGTTACACTGCAGTTTCTGACCTTTGGTTGAAGCCATTCATGGCTTCGGTGTGATTTTGTGCAATCCGTGGATTTTCTCATTCCACTATGTTCATTTCAGAATCCCTTTTTTTTCATATTGCTGTCACCTGTCACCCAGAGGGGTTTGGCCAGTTCAGTTATTTCTGCAGTAGCCAGACAGAAAAGGTCGAATGTTAATAATGATATAGAAAAGGTAAAGTGCTAATAAGAATATAGCACTGCCAGGAAATAGTCATGAACAGTGAATCCAAGGCTATACTAGAAAAGAACTAGTCATGAACAGTGAATCCAAGGCTATACCAGAAAACAGATTTCAGACGAACAGTTTTAATGGAAATAGATGGCATATCCTAAGTATTTCAATTAGTACCCAGAGACAGAGGGAATTAAGATTTGACAATTTGAACTTCTGCTCAAGCCACTGCTGTTCTGACACAAACAGGTCACACACGCTGATAAATTTTAGGAGTAAGATTTAAAATAATCACTAATTTTCTTCAGAAGTGAGAAAGAATGCCAGCCCCTTGAGACCTGTTTGGTATGCCACTCCTCTATGATTCTTTGTCCTTTGAAAACCAGCAGCATTGTTACACATCTGATTGGGGAATATCAGAGTTTAATACATCTGAATGCAGAGGTTGAAATAGAAGTTTCGGTAGCCCCTGCAATCACATTAGGTAGCATTTAATGTAAGTATTTAAAATAAAATTCCTGCTATTTCTGTCACCAAGAAAAGTTCTCAGACATGTAAATCAGTGAAACTGCCCCACGCTCCATCAGAATTCGTGTCATGTTTACAAGAAAATATAAAATAAGGAAATCCTTCCCAGATACAAAAGCTCTTACTGCCTATTGTTTTTTTTCCCCAGATTTAAGCATAATTTCCTGTTATATACCAGAGATTTTAATGTTAATTCACTACTGACATGCCATCTTTATGGGCATTTTCAAGACTTCAAATGATAGCATCTTGATCATTTTAGCAATTGTTAGCTCTGAAGCAGCTCCTGCTTTCTCTGAAATCCAAAATACCCAACAGAAATTACATGAGCACACACACTGTTCTGTCATATGAATGATGATCTTTGAACACATTTCAGGAAAAAGCGTGTGCTATTCTAAACAGCTTTAAAAATAGCTTCTGTGCAGACAGATTGATTTCTGCCTAGTGGTTATTTTGTTCTCTTCTGTCTAAATGAATCACCTTTACACCATAAAATGTGAGGGAAAATGGAATGATGAGTAGGGGAATGAGTGATATGTATGGGAATCTTGAGGATTACACAGTTCCACTGTGTCTTTCCGGTGTTTATCTTTCCAGCTGTGAAATTATGAAACACTTAAATCCAAGATTTCAGGGCAGGTTCGGTATGTCCTTTCCTGAATCTGTGGTTGGGTGGGAGACTCGGAAATCTTTCTAATGGAGACTTTCTGCTAAAGAGCAAATGCATGGCCAGTCCAGTTCACAGAAACAGATGTAGTTGTTGCTTTTCTACCAGAAAGCACCAAAGCAGAAGTTCAGAGTAATTCTCTGAATAAAAGATTAAAATAGAGTCAAATAATTGCCAGTTTGTCAATATATATTATGTCTACATTAGCCAGTAATTTGGGGCACAATAGGAATGGATCAGTACATCAAAACAATTTGTTCTCAGATCTTCATGCCTACGCAATCTACTTTTCTATGGTTTAACTTTGGGCTAGATTTAGTCTGGTCCTCAGATTAAATGTCTCTCACACACACCGTTTTACATCAGACGTAAGATCAGTCATTGGTATACACTCAATTGTCCCCATCAGGGCTTGGAGGAAATGAGGTGTAAACCTAGAATAAAGTTTCTTGTTTAATTTTCTCCAAGAACAGTCTAGCTTAAAACTATTCTGCAAACCAATCCAACACACTGGGATTTGCCCCCCAAATGCTATGTTTTGCATAATTGACATATGTCTTGCATAATTGACGTATGTCTTGCATAATAACCATAATGCATATGTCTTGCATAATAACCAAAATGCTAATGTAGATACACTCTCTACTTAGACTCCTTTCTTCTCACACACTGTACCATCACCTAATGGCAGTTTCCAGACTTTTGATTTTCATTCAAAAGTCTGTATCAGTTTATCTCTTACCACATCTCCCACAAGGTGCTCTCATAGCTGACACCTTCACCTTCTCCAGTAACTCTCTTCCTGGGCAGTTGGAAACCCCAGGAGTGGAGGTCCTTGCTTGACAGGTCTCTTGCTATAACTTGGTTAGATCTCGCCAGCCCTTGCAAGAGGCTCCCTTCAAGGGTTTCAGGATAAAGGATGAGCTCATATTTTTTCAATCTAAACTGTAATTAATTTATAAAAGTATAAAAATAACTTGTTGTGCAGCTTTACAAAATCTGTGCCCTTATAATATCATGGATGGTAAAGTAATTTTTGAAAAGTGTTTTATTCAGAACTGTCTGTGGTTTCAGCTTTCCAAATGAATTAGCAACCACTTCATGTTCATGGCAGTATAATATGAGAAGCCAATTCTTTTAACACAAGCAGAAAAGGCAATGTTGTGTTTCTTCCACAACATTGTTCTATAAAACTCCTCCAGTCCTGGCCTGATGGGATTGTACCTCCCAATCCATTCTCCCCCTTGTCACTGAGATTATCATCAAGAATGCAGGAAACAATATTGTTTGTTGCAGTGTTCCTTTCTGGGAAGTGGACTGTACACAGCAACTCATTTTATCAAGCCCACAAATTAACATGAATTCTGGTTTTGGACTGGACCCAAATCTGAAGTAATGACCATGCAAAGACTACAAAACAGTCACAAGGAATTGAACAGAACATGGAGTTGGTATTTTAACCATGTAGTCTGCTGTCAATCCTACAGTTCACTTTGTTTTTAGATACGGTCCCATAGTATAATTTACTAGCCCAACTATCACTCTTATCACCTGTGACAACTAGATTTTATGTAATTACAAACACTACACTAGCAGGATAATAGGCCTACTATCTAGCTCATTAGTCTACAGGAACTTTATTCCAAAAGCTGGAAGAAATATATGGAAGGTACATGTAAGACTGGAACTAGCTGATAGTTATACAGCTAGTGGATGAAGTATACTTCATGGCCTGACATGTAAAAAGCAGTACAGTAATGAACCTGCAGGACTGAACAGAAAATATTGTTCTCACTAAACTTATAGTATTACTAAAACCAGTTGAGAATGCTCAGCAATCCTACAGTAAAATGATCTGCAAAAAGGAGAGGCCTGTTAGTGAATTACTCCAGGGAAAGCTCAGTGGTTTATGGAAGTTTTACCAAAGCTTAACAAGAACATGGGTTTAAAAACTTCTTTTGTTCTGTGCTCATGCATATCAAAGAGTCACTGATGCCAGCATTTTCAAATTTATTTAAAAACCAATCATATTAAATTATTTGTATTCCCTTCCTCTGCAACTTTAAGAATGTATGATTTTGACATTACAAGTGAAAATTTAAATAGAAAACCAGAAAGACATAATACGATTCAGAGTGTGCAGGTTTTCTGGTTTTGTTTTTCTTTTCTGAATAATCAAGGCTATTCAGGTCTTACAAAAGGATCTTAAGAATGAAATCTTTTTCCACAAGGAAAGGCTGAAGATGCTGTCTGAGTACAGGAAACCAAACTCTACATAAAAATTGACTTAACGTAATAGTAGTATGTGAATTAATTGTCAGCAGATATAAAGAGGAATGAATGAACTGAAAAGCACACATAGAACTGTCTCAGTTCTGTTTTTTGGAGTTCTTGAAACAAATGCTTATTCCATAAACTTGCAAGGCTAAAAGCTTTAAAGATAGTTATGTTCACATCTCATTTGGCTAGTATTCTTTCACTGTTTGTGATCTCACTGACTACTTCAATACAGCTTAAGGCTCTAGGCAATTTCACCAAATAAAACGTCACATTTAAAGCAATGCACACAATACAGAAAAGACAATATGCTGATTACCCCATGGCCCAAATTTCTAAGAATTGCTGGATGCAATGAATGAGTTAACACTTTTGAGGGAGAAAAAGTTGGAGTGATGCAGGATTAATAAATAGGCTTACTTTTTTATTCTAAGGATGGTGTTATCACAATAGACTATTTGAGATATGAAACAAAAACTTCCACATACCTCAGACCTTATTCATTATGCACCTTGCCAACCTCAATGAACCCAAATCTGGTGCAAACTGAGAGGAGACTTTGCAACTTCACATGCTTCACTAGAGTAAAAATATTCACAGTCAGAGAAGCTTTACCTATAGTAGACCTCCTACCAGGAACTGCCCTGGTGTTAACACTGATGGGAAACATTCACCCATAATGATCACTGAACAAAACTATCAGTTATCCATTGAAGACAACGGCACTTTGAATATCTGCAGTGCTAGCTACTGGACAGAACTTGTTTTTTATTTGGTCATCCAAGAAAGAACTAAAATCACTGCAGATGGATGTCACTACTTTTTTTTTTTTTTTGTAGAATTTATTATACTTTCTTTTCTCTTTGTCGCAGTATTGAAGAGGAAGGTATTGTTAATCTAATTTAACCACTGTCCTCAGTAAAAATGAGCCTAATTAGGGTGAAATGGTATTTTATTCACTGAGAAAACAGGCATCCATCCTAAATTCCTTTCAGTGACTAAGGCATGATGACGCATTTGGCATTAATTACATAGTGGTGCTACAACACTTATTTTCAGGACTTAGTACCACTAGAAAATAGTGTTCTTCTGCCTTCAGGAAATCTCTAGAAACAATCAAAGTAACCTGCAGCACAAATAAATTTTCAAAGACCAGAGTGTTTTGGAGTATCTACTGTTATTAAAAAAAAAAAATAAAATAAAGGACCAAGGCACTATTTGCTCTCAACCACATTGAGAAGAATCATTCTGTTTCTGCCTCCTCTTCCTTCCTGAAATCCTTGCCTTATTCTCCAGTGTATCCAGAAGCTTGCTGGAATTATCATTTTCTTTGCCTGAAACTCATCATGTTTCATCTCCTCTTTGAATCTCATTTACAGGTTTCAACTTCCCATTCCAAACTTCCTGTCTTTACCCTTTATATCTATACAACATCTCTGTCTCCACCTCCAGTGCCTGTTTCATCTCCA